AGATGAAGATTGAGGCTGCTTTCATAATAAGTGTTCTTTATCCCAATTTATTTATTTTATTTATTTGTTTATTTAATTTTTATTTAATTATACTTTTTTAAATAATTTAAAACCCCCTTTTTATCTTTATTACTATTTTTAATTCATTATTTATTATTTTATTATTTTTCCTTTTTATTTATTTATAATTATTTATTTTATTATACCTTCTCAACTTTACCTGGAATTCTATTTTTTCCTAAAATCAAGAAACAATTTTACTAAATAACAAAAACCATAGTCCTAGTAGATCGACCTTGCTTCTCTATACTACCTTTTCCTTTCTACTTAATTAAAAAGCCAAAATTATTTTCATAACAAAATAACGGTTATCATTGAGCCAAGGATCAATACATTTATTCCTACTTTGCTCAAGTTGAATTTGCTTTCATGTGCCTTTTCTCTTCTCTTTTGGATCTCTTTAGACTTTCTATCTGTGGGTTTTCAGCCTACAGGTTATTATGGTCCTTTTATAGATTGAACATGAAACATGAAGTCAGTTTCAATCAATCCACCTTGTAGTTAAAGGAGTCATTTTTATGAGTCTCTCATATGTACTTCTTGTCATGTGAGTTTGATACCTCAATTTAATTTGATCACAAGTTACTTCTCGTATTTTAAACATCTTTTATTCTTCTCGATTGGATCTGAATCATCAAACACATTGTATCTGGTCAACCTTGCGACACTTTATTATTCTATACCTTATTCCATAAGGACTCGTCAAAAATGATTTTTCCCTCATGTGAGTACATTTTCCTTCGCCTTACCCTACCATGGGAAGTGATCCTTGGTTAAGCTTGAATCCAAAGAAAAAATATTCAGGCCTAAATACGGACATCAATGGATAGTTTTCCCTTTTTGTGAATAAATAGTGAAAAAAATATCGTTTATCATTTCATACACAAAATTCTTTGTTGAAGAGGTATTCCTAGGGAGATAGATGTTCAAAATTAATTTTTATTTACTAAAAAACAAGTCATTAATGCATGATGATTTATTTTATTTTATTCTCGAATTACTCAAGTTCATCCTCTTAAGAATAATGTAGGATGTCCAATCTTGCCTTCTTTTCAAAAGATTTGCACGCAAGATAATATTCTTCATTCGATGTCGTTGAATTTTATTATGATGGAGAAGGCTGATTCTATGTCTAAGAATATACCGGCATGACTTTGAAGTCATCTATTTGGAGAGTGTAATATCATGTCAACGATGACTACTCGTGAAAAGGTAAGAGCAAGATTTTGATGTTTCAAGAAAGGTTAATGTCAAATATGTGTGTTTCAATATAGGTCACAAATTGTTCCGAGTTAAAAATCAAAGGATCTTTCTTTTTGGCTAGGGAAAAAATAAGAAATGTCTGATCTCATCATTTGTCAAAGAACTATAACCTTGATCCTCAAAAGATCATTTTATTATCTAACTTTCAAAGATCCTTCAAGTTTTAAAATTTATTTTATAATTTACAACCAAAGAAGGTGGTATTTGTTCATGAGTGTGAATAACAACCCATTTTAAAACATTTAAGAAAATAAAGAAAGGAGCAAAGAACATGTCCAAACAAGATGAAGTGCTTTCTCATGCAAGTGTAGAAAACTCAGTAGTAGGTGATTCAATTACCATCCTTTCAATCTTCTCCATTATTCATTAAATGTCTAAGCACCTGATGTCAATCAAATTATGGTCCGTACGTCTCCATGCCCTAATATTATTGATTATATGTCTTCAGCTTCTACCTAGGTGACCATCGTAGTAATTTCTTTATCAAATCTAAGCTTAGGGTCCAGCTTGATGTAGTCATCCCTCTTAAAAGCCAAATAAATCTCAAAACTTTGCGTAAATCAGGATGGAGCGGGGATAAAGATCAATGGTTCGATCAACCCAGAAAACACCGGGTGCTAGTTCTTCACGAGCGGCACCAGCACCGTCTGATGATGATCTAGAGCTTGAAGATCTTCTTTGGGATGTCGATGATCCCGTTAACCTAGCTGAGGACGAGCCGGTCCAACAAGAGAGTCAGATGCCTCCATATTTTTTATCGTTCATAGAGACATTTGACATGAGGTTTGCATCCATAAAGTCCCACTTAACCGCTATGGGGGCTCAACAATTGGAGAACCAGCGAGAGATGCGAGCTAACAACGAAGTAATGAATCATCGACTCATTACTATGAACGAAAGACTCAATGAGCTTACACTCGACATGGCTGCTCTACGACACATTTTCCTCCTCCCGACCCACCAATGGATGATTAACTTCTCTAGCTTAGTTTTCATTGGTTGATTTTGAACTTGAATATTGTTAAAACATTTTGACTGATTTGGATGTTTGTGTTGAGGATGTTTGGATTTATTTGTTTGATTTGGTTGAATGATATTTAGTTATTTGAACTTAAATTAAATTTTCATGTTAGTATATGCATCATTTACATTTTAAACAAATTATGACCAATTACCATTACACATTTACGAATATTGTATATGGACTAATGGCTAACAATTCTCTTGATTGTGATCTTAACAACTATAGCTATATCTATATAAATCAATTGGCGATTTTTCTTACAAACTTGTTTAAAAATGTTCTTCATAGTCTTTTTGATTTAACAAAAAGGGGGAGAATAAAGTAAGGGGGAGTAATTTTTCAAAATTGATTTCAAAAATGATTTTCAAAAAAAAAAATCTTAAAATTACTAAAATATTTTGTTATATCAAAAAGGGGGAGATTATTGAAAATAGTTTGATGTTTCAATATAACAATTAAAGTATTATTGAATTTTAAGATTTTATATTCAATTATATATTCGATTAAATTATTCGAATATCAAAAATATTACTCCAAGTTTTTAAATGTCAATTTTACTCCTTACTCAAGTGTAAAATTGTGTTTTAATCTTAAAATATTTTGAAACAATTTTTACAAAGTATTTCAAACCTTAATCGAGACAAAATGTATTTTAAGTAAGGAGGTATCAAAACACTATTCATATGTACCGATACCCCTGAATTTCGAATGAAATGTGGGTACCGATACACAGTCAAATGTACTGATAACCCTCATTTGATAATTGGCTCCGAGAAACATCGAATGTATTTAGTGCACCGATACCCCTGTGAGATACCGATACACTTAGTCAAATAACGGTCGAAATATTTAATTTTACACTAGGTGTACCGATACCCCTACGCTCCCAACAGATTTTTTAAATGGAAAACATACAACAACGGCTCTATTGACTTCACCAATGATCCCCAACATTCAGAATCAATCCAAGGTGTATTTAAACAAGTCTTAAAGCCATTGATAAAAAATAAGTAAGAAGAATTGAGAGAGAATCAAAGAGAAAGCCTTAAACATCAGGTTTGAACAATTCAAGCCTATTTTCCATTCAATATTCATTTTGCTTTCAAGAACAACATTTGTGCTCAATTGTATTTATTCTTGAGTGTTCTTTCTTTGTTCTAGAATTGTACAAACATCTTGCATTGTGAGATTTTTCTGTAAGTTTACGAAATTTGTAATTTTCTCTTTGGGAGAGATTGTTCTCAAGAATTTGGGGTACAATTCTTGAGGGAGTTGTAAGGTTACTCTTTGTCCTCAAAAGAAAGACAAATTAGTGAGCTTGTGGAAAATCCTTAGTGTGAATAGCTAAGGTAGTGGACGTAGACTTTGTTTAAGAAAGTTGAACCACTCTAAATCGTCGTGCAAATATTTTCAATTTTCTGTCAAAGCTACCACTATGTCAAAGCTTCCACAAAATTTTTAATAGTCAATTCACCTCCTCTTAGCTATTTCGTTGATCGATTAACTCAACAAAATTCATAAAAGTTCAATATTTGACGTTACGTTTTGAAAAAAGTAAAAGCTTATGTACTAAAATATGCCAAAACAGATAGTTTAAGTACTAAACACATTAAATTCTTAATGAGTTACTAAAATGAAACAAAAACTAAATGTTAAATAAAAAATTTAGATAAACCAAAACTATTAGTTTTGAAAAAAAATTAAAAATCTAAGTACTAAAACAGACCAAAATAGATAAATTTAGATACTAAATGCGTATTTTACCCATATAAATATTATCCGTACAACATGAGGCTCTAAAAAATTCTTTACTTTTTTCGCCCAACTCACACTGTTCCAATTCAATTCTATTTCTCAAAATTAAAAATATCTTAATGACAAAAATCAAAATATATCATAAGTTTATTAAATTAAATAACTAATATAAGCTTCTTAATCGAATTTTGTAATTACACTTGACAGTTAACTCGAAATTAAACTAAATTTTGATAAAAATAAATCTATACAAAATTGTCTTACAAATTTTCTCCAATAACTATAGTTAAATTCTGACATCATAATTTCTGGAATATTACAGACATATATTCAATATCTTATGTACTTGCTTTCTGAAGAAAAAAAAATACCCAGTCCCTATACTCTTCATGCATTTAAAATAACCATTTGACCCGTATAATTCTTTTAAAGCATTTAATCCATAACATTTTATTTTATGACAAAAACAAGACTGTATCATTTTGACTATTACTCTTTTCTCTTAAGCATTTTAACCCCCAATATTTTATTTTAAGATAAAACACTTCTATTTTGAAACGTTAACTCTATTAACTAAAGATTTCCAGCTACATATAAGCATTTTTATCCCAAAATAAATCATTCCAGGCTAAAATACTCCAAAAAAATACATTATTTTGATAGACTATGAGGGCTAATTTTGACATTACATCAACTATTAGTACCGGTAAACGTTTTACCTTTGGTAACAACCGGGACCAGTTTAGGATGTTTGGTTTGATTACAATTATCACATTTGTTTATAAAATTAATAGTGTATACAGAGGTTTCTCTTTTTTACATAAATCTTATACATGACGAATATTACAGGAAAAACACGTGGAGAATAGACAAGACAAACAAATCAGAAGGAAGTGTATGCAAGCGCGAGAGACACAAGCGTGTTAAGAAAAAGAAAATAGAATACATACCAGCAATTTCCACAGATGTATATAAAGCCTTATTTGCGAGGGTCCATCACAGCTGAGCTTTTTATTAACATGTCTTGGATATTAAATTGCCAAAAGCCGTAGCAGCTGAACAAATAACTGCAACTTTGTATTATCTATCTGTGACAACAGACTAAGCCTCAGGGATTTAAATAGCAGTCCACTATCAGAATATCAGCTGTTATATAGCAGTGAAGGTACCGTCCGAAAACTTTATTGTACGACCGCAATACCAGAAATAGCACCCACTATTGCTGCAATCGCATAGCAGCCTTTGGTACAAAGGATGGATAGAAAATAACATACATGTTAGATGCGGCTCTTGAGGAGCTTTGTCCCAATTTTGTGTGGTCCCCAAGGGGATCCCCCATCAAATGCGTGCTCCAACACATCTTCCATTCGCTTCGCCACAAGTATCTGCCGAAATAACAGTCAAAAAGGGAAATATTACGCTTTAAGTTTCAAGCAGAGTAAAATTAACACCCAATTCAAAGGGGATATTGATAATTAAAAATCAAGGGTAAACTACACATTTAGTACCCTAATTATTACTTTTGTTTCGTTTTAGTCACAATTTTTTTTTTCAAAATCATGCCTAACATTATGTTTTTGTTACCCACCATTAAAAAATTAATAGAACTACTGATGTGATATTATCTTATGGTGACACGTCAACATCACCGTTAATTTTTTAATGACGGATGACCAAAATGAAACAAAAACTAAACATTAAGTATGATTTTGAAAAAAATATAGTTAGATGACCAAAACGAAGTAAAAGTGATAGTTGGGGGTACTAAACGTGTAGTTTACCCTAAAATCAATTGTTTCAACTGCCTTGTTTACATGTCCACCAGAAACAAAATCAAAATGCTTGACACCCACAGTAACGTCAAAAACTCATGCAAAAAGAACCGAATTCAAATTGCATATTAAGATGCCGATTAACAACAGAAAAAGTGCAGATATATTAAAGTAATATGTTTGTTTCAAATAAGTGGAAAAAAGTTACCTCTAGTGAGGAGAGCACAGATGCAGGTACTTCAACCAAGTCCTTCAAATTTCTCTCTGGTAGAATAACTCTCTTGATACCATGACGGTGTGCTGCTAGTATCTGCGAAATAACATATAAAAGAAAGTTGAAAATAATGGGAGGCAAATGCATTTCCAGTCAATCTTTTGTTATTGCACATTCTTAACAGAACATTAGTTTTGGCCAAACATACGAACATTATTATTGGTGCACACATTATTCTCTTGAAGAAGAAAAAAAATTAAACTAAAACTTAATAGACTAGCTCATGAAATGGAACACACCTTATCCTTGATACCACCAACAGGTAACACAAGACCCCTCAACGTCATTTCTCCGGTCATTGCAGTATCTGCTCTCACACTTTTCTGACTAAACAAAGAAACCAATGCCGCTACAAGGGTCACACCGGCTGATGGTCCATCCTTTGGTACAGCCCCAGCTGGAAAATGTATATGAATATCTCTACCATGCAGAAGACTGATTTCTTCAGCAGCTGCCAACTTATGATCTGCCACCCTGGCTCTTACCTGAAAACAGGGAACACTTCAAAATAAACCCTTAAAAGAATATAGATTTTTAAATTATTATATTTGGGTTATGGTGCAATAACAACCACACAAGAAAATTTTATCAGGAAAAAAAAAAGACAACCACACAAGTAATTAAAGCATAATTAACAACAAAGAAGCAGGAATGATGAGTAAAACCAACGAGCAGCTTTCATATGATGTCTGTTTATGGAAAAAAGTAGACAGGAAGTGCTCTATTACAACTTTTAAATCAATCTGGTTGCGTTAAAGGGTTAAGAAGCAGTTTGTACAAAATAAGCATGATCCTGATCCAATAGATTACATACCCATACCAGCAGCAATTTAGGTAGCAACCTCTAAATCACCCATAGCATTTTTAAATCGAACTCAATATGTTATCCAAGAAACCATACCCATGTCAATGCTATTTGTGCGGATTCTTTAATAACATCACCAAGTTGCCCAGTAAGATGCAATTCACCAGTTCCAACCATTGCTGTAGCCTCCACAAACTGAACCTCTCCTCCAAAAGTGGTCCAAACAAGCCCAACAGATACTCCAGGAGTGGCAACACGATCTGCAGCTTCTTGGTCATCAAACCTAGGAGGCTGCATCAGAGTATAATCATCCTTATTCTTGTGAAAGAATACAAACCTACTGTCAGCATAAACTTACTCGAGTCTTTGGACCATATCATACATAAGTTTTATGCCTAAAGTAGCAGGAAAGCAAAAACTCGACCAAAAGTACTTTTTTTACCACATTAAGATGGGAGTAAAAAGTGAATATCCTATAAAAATGGAGTTCAAGTGGAACCATTACCCCCAATATTTTTTCCAGCATAACCTCGTCAACAACCAAAAGTGAAGAAATTTTGAATGTATTAGACATCTCATGATTATTTACACCCATTGGAAGGACTTCCATTTCCACCTCCTCTTCCTCAGCAAGCCTATTATCCAGCAGTGGAGACGCTAGTTTCTGAACATCTTTACTAACTGAGACAGCCTGTTCTTTCTCAGCGACTCTTACAGCAGCAGCACGAGCCAAGGCAGCCAAGTTCCTCTCGAGATTCCGGACACCGGCTTCCCTGGTGTACCTCTGAATGACAAGTTTAACCATGGCCTACCACAATAAAAAAACATTAAGATTACTCAATATAACTTGTAATATAACCAAATGCTTACAAGTCGATCTAAATTCTAGACAGAAGAGTTGAAGAAATAGATAACACTACATTTTGATAGATGTTGAAAATGAAAGAGCATAGACATCTTCCATGGAGATAATCAATAGATATTATACTGTAACCTTAGCCTTCAAAATAAGAAGGCAAGGACATGAATTGATGTTAGTCCTAGTAATTGTTTATTCAACCTGAGATCATAGGGATGCAAAGACCAGCTGACAAGTTTCTAAAAGTATTTCAATGCTCAAGGAGAGCCATGACAGTAGATTTAATGAACTTAAGAGAGACAAGACGCCCAATGTTATCATGTAAGGAAGCACATACCTCAAGAAGAAAAGAAGTGCAAGAAATACCTCTGGAATTTGAAGGTACTCGGAACTCAATCCATGCTGATCCAAAACTCGTGGAACTAAATGTTGCATGGCTATTCTGAGCTTTTCTTCAGCTGTATATCCAGGCAGCTCAATGACCTCCATCCTGTCTAAGAGTGGAGGAGGAATAGGCTGCGCCCTATTAGCAGTAGCGACAAAAATCACCTTTGAAAGATCATATGGCACATTCAAATAGCTATTCAACCTCAGTTAAAGACCACAACCGATCAATTCACACTCATGAAATGGTTTTAGTCGTGGAGATGCAAATACACGCATAAAATCAATAACAATGTCACAATCCATAAAACAGTAAAAAATGAATGTTAAATAAAGCCCTCAAGTAAAACACGAATGCATTTTTTCTAGGATTTACTAATAAAGATCAATAAAGTTAATGCTGGTTTGTCCAAGACAAAGTTCACCATGATAATCTAGAAATAGAAGAAAGTAGGATACTGATCATTGAAAGATTTATTCTGCTCCGGATCGAGAACCTCCAGCAGAGCTGAAGCTGGATCACCACGGACATCAGAACCTGTCTTGTCAATCTCATCCAATAGCATGACTGGGTTGCAAACACCTGCTCTCTAGAAGCCAAACATAACATCATTATGGTAAGGCCAATAATCATCGACAAATAATATAAATCCAAAGAAGATGTTGAGAATCATAATTCATGGGGGATTCGGTTCTCCAAAATTCAAATTGTCAGACTAGGATAAATTTAAAACTGCAATCTACAAACTTAAATCATCATTTAGTTATAAATGGCTTTTTATTTTTAATGTATTATGTGTGCCCACACGCATAATGCAGTAATGCACAGGATTACTATAACAACAGTAAGGCCTAGAAATCTGCTGTGGAGCCCACCCACACAAATAACTGGTAGAAGATAAATGCTGAATACGTCAAATTCTATCATATTTAAGTGTGAGACCACCGATCAAAATAAAAACAGCTTATGCAGTAGAAGTGGCAACAGTTTAATATATGATTTAATGAGAAAATAGAACAAGAACATTTCTCAAAGAAGAATGAAAAATAAATGCTAAATAGGGATCCGCTGAAGCAAATCTAGACCTCAAATGGATGTTCTTAGTCAGTTCACAGTGGAGTAAACAGCATTCCGTAACCAGTACGCAATATAGCAGAACAAGAAGTCTAGAATCACAATATAATCCAAGAAATCCATTTTACCTTTAACCCATCAATAAGACGCCCAGGCATACTTCCAATATATGTTCTCCTATGCCCTCGTATATCAGCCTCATCCTTGACACCACCCAAAGATATGCGAACACAATTTCTTCCCAAAGCAGCAGCAATCGATGATGCTAATGATGTTTTACCAACACCCGGTGGGCCAACAAAGCACAGAACTGGACCCCTTGCATCTGGCTTAAGCTGAGTGCAATAATTCAAGCAAATGAACACATATAGAACTAAAAGGTAATCAAAGCAACAATAAAACAGATAATTAGTCAACCTTCCGAACAGCTAGATACTCGATTATTCGTTGCTTGACCTTGACTAAACCATAATGGTCACTGTCGAGACGGTCTTTCGCAGCCTTCAGGTCCAGTTCCTGTTCTTCACTGGCGTTCTGCCAAGGCAGATCAGCAAGAAGCTCCAAGTAGACACGTGAACTATTGTATCCAGGTTGTTGCGGTTGCATTTTCTTAAGCCTCCTGAAATGAGAATTGTAAAATATTAGGAAGAAAATACTTTATTATGGGTATATATATAAGTATAAAGGTTACGTAATATGTCAAGTAATATCCTACATTAACTGGGTAATACATTACATCAAATACAATATATATCAACCCTAATATTTAGCCTGTAAATCTGTCACGAGAATAATAGACAACACTGTTCAAAATCCTATCCAATTAAAATAGAATACAAGAAGTTTGGATCACATAAATTCTACAAGAACACGAGAAAACAAGAAAGGCAAGGAAGTGATACGCTCAACAACAAACCAAACATTGAAAGATGCCTCCAAGTGATAGAATGTTATTAAGAACTACTTTTTGATGTGAAGACAATCTTAGCAAAATTTCAGAAAATTTTGGCATTTAAACCGTTCTCTCAACTTATTTTACCTCAACTCCCTCTGAGCATGCTTCCAGATATTTGAAGGCATCCCAGCACTCTGCATCTTTCTTTCCAAGGCAGCCAAATCATCCTCATCATCATCATTGTCTCCAAGCTCCTCTTTTATGGCCCTCATCTGGAATATATTCCAAATATACATGCAAAAAACCAAGTAAAGGTTTTCCAGCAGCAAATATAGCTCCAAATACTAGACAAGAGAAACCAACAAAAAAATATCTTTACAGGTGAACCATTTCCAGCCCTACTGATTCTATACAAATATATTCCAAAAAAATAGCTCCTCTTTTATGGCCCTCATCTGGAATATATTCCAAATATACATGCAAAAAACCAAGTAAAGGTTTTCCAGCAGCAAATATAGCTCCAAATACTAGACAAGAGAAACCAACAAAAAAATATCTTTACAGGTGAACCATTTCCAGCCCTACTGATTCTATACAAATGTCTGAAAAATAACAAACCATAAATTACTAATTGGTAGGTAACCACAGTTTTAAAAGGTGCTAGGCGCACCAAGGCGCAAAGGGTCTCAGGAGCCTAGGCACAGGGGGAAGGCACACGCCTTTCATAGGCGAAGCACACTTTTTATACTAAAAAACTTATAAATCAGTTCAGGAGTATATCCATACCCGTTACTCATTGGTTCACTCCTGAAGCACATAATCTCCTCTCCACACTCTATCCTTCACCATTACTTGTCCCCTCGACCCATTTCTATCATTCACATAACTCTATTTTCCAAAACATTTCACCACAGAATTAGGGTTCACTGTAATTGACTACATCATCTTCTAAATTCATAAAATCATCACGTAAATACTTTAAAATCATCAAATATGATTTTAATTCAATACCCTTTTCTAGTGTATATTGAATGAGTATACTTATGAAAGCTTGAAGGTTATGGAATCAAGATGATTCAGTATCTGTTTAAACTAAAATGAGTTCAATTTTAAGTATAAACCAAACTACTCCTAAGATTACCTCTCTTAACTTTTACAGTAATTAAAGGGTAAAATTCAGAGAAAAAAAAGGTTTAGTTAATCAATATTTATAAGATTAAATAATATTTAAAATAAAGATGATTTTAATCACCTTCACTAACATTAATTAACATGTTTCAAATAAAAATATTGTTTGAGAAATTATTTAAATAAAATAATATAAAATATTATTTAAAATAAAGATAATTTTAATCAGCAACATAGCAGGCTTGAAGCAACCACGTCTCTCCACTTCACCTGCTGCAGCACTCAATCTGCTATTTAATTCCCACCCCCCTCCCCCTAAAGCAGCAGAAGAGGTGTTAGAAAGAAAGAAGCTGACCCACATAGCAGGCCTGTACCAACCATGTTCTCCACCTCACCTCCTGCCGCAATCCTCCTAAAGCGGTGGAAGCGGTACACCTAGCGCATCTTCAAAAAGCGCTCGCTTTTGATCACCTGGGAGAGCCTTTTGTAGGTCGCTGCACTTATGCCTTTAGAGGCGTTCAGTTCAGCGCCCTGCACTTTAGGCATGCCTAGGCGAGCTTTTAAAAACTAAGTACCTAACTACAAAAAACCTGTAGCACCCTTTACTTTCTGTTCCCTAAAAACTTCAGTTTAAGAAAGCTAACCTGTTGTCGCAAAAGAAACTCCTTCTGTGATTTTGACAATTGCCCTTCAACCTTTTGTGTAATCTTCTCAGCTACACGTATTGACTGCATAAGTAATGCATTAAACTAGATAAAGTCCAGAAAAATAAATAAATTGACAATGTTAACCATTAGTATATAACTTACCTGCAAATGCCTGTCAACTAACTCGGTAGCTTTTGAAAGCCTTACTTTAGGGTCAACAGAATCCAACATAGAGAGCTGCTCTTCAAGACTCATCTCAAAGCTAGCAACAAATATATCAGCCAATTTGTGAAGAGGAAGCGTCTCCAAAAGAACTTTTATCCTTCCACCAGTTTTTTGTTTCTACAAGCAGCACAAGAACATGGATTATCACTACAATATAACACAACATAGCCAAGTTTTCAATCAACAAGATAACTAACAATTTCTATGTTGTTCATGACATGGGCCATAGATACTAAGTAAAAGAACAGGGTAAATATTCTACCTGCTCAAGAACAGAAATAAGCTCCATTGCAGTTGCTTTGAATTGGCGAGACAATGTTACAAATTCTGGATCTTGCTCGATTTGCTCCATCTCTAGAAAAATTAAAGGTTGAATAAACTTATAAAAGATAACATAGGAATAAACAACATTACCATTCCAATGTTATTGAAAAAAAAACTGCTGATGACTGGAAAAAACAACAGAATCATCTATCATAATAAAATGGACGCATCCAAAATTAATTCTAGCCAAAGACCATAGGCCATAATCTTTCTCCTGGGACTAGAGATTGAAAAGAGTGTTGTGATACCAAGTTATCCGATTTATACTATTGTGCAACAGAAAGAACATTAAACTTATATATGTTAGTGATTGTGCTTACAGAAGATCGAACGTGATACCAACTTACCAGCCTTAGTCATCTCAAGCGGAGATATCTTTGCAGTGCAGTAAGGTCCTCGTGTGTTAAGTTCTTCTACATTGAATCTGCATAAACCTTCAAGGACCACAATGTATGTGACCCTCCCACTCGGTTTCTCCACTCCTCTAGATAGATGCAAAGCTCGTGCAGCCACACCCCTGGGATATCAATACCGAATGTAGGGACCATAAAGAATAGAACAAGGCATGGAATATTGACATAAGCAAAAATAGAGAAAGGCTTAACGCAACAATATCTAAAAGTGAGTAGATATTTGATTGGAAGTACCTTTTATGCCAATGAATAACTTCAGGGTGGCTTTTCCCATCAATCTTCTGAGCATCTGATGTGTTAATCTGAACTTTTGAGCTCCGCTCTCCGGATTCACTTGCTACACCTGAAAACACATTTCAAACCTCTTACTTAGAAAACCATACAGCCTTCCGATGGCAAAACAAGTCCACAAACAACAACCTTGAGATAACACAGAATCCATTGAAGTCATCTCAGCAGCATCTCGAACAGGAAGAATCCCAATTAATCCTTTCTCTTCTCGCTGCCATAATTCTTGTTCCACCAATTTCACACTGAAATGGTCAAACTACTTTATTATCTGATAAAAAATAGTGAACCGATCGGCGATCGCACCAGCTCCATTGTTATTATTCAGCTTAAATAAACAGAATATCATATAAAACCCAACGTTTGAAAAATAATAACTCAATTGCAATTCAGGAAATAGCTTGAATTTCCATGAACTGGAAGTGGAGGGTTAAAATAAGTTCGAAATAGAAGACTCGAAAACTTTTAAATACGCGTTAGTTCCAAGAAAATAAGTAAATAAAGCAGAGGAAAATAACGGCTGGTAATACTATGCCACAAAGCAAGGAAATAAACGCGCAAAAAAAATCAATTCGTTCTAGTTTTGAATAGAGAACCAAAGAAACTATCCTAATTTCAAAATTTGAATCCATGAAAAAATTTGCCCATTTTCGTTTTCTATGAAACAAACAAGAGAAAGAAGATTCGGCAGTTGTTAATAGAGGCGAACCTGGTGTGTGAAGTGCAGCGAATCCGAATAAAGACGCCAGGCAATAAAACTTGGTTTCTGAATGGAAGGATCGCTAAACGACCCGGCAGCTCCACCGATTCCGCCATTTTTAAAACCTTGGATTTCTTAGAGGAAAATAGAAACAAAAAGAAACCAAAAGGAAATAGAGACTACTAAATGGTTCATCTGATATTTAAATAGAACAAAATCGTTAAAAAAAGTAATGAACAAGGTAAACACATATATATATACTCCATACACTCCCATACATACATACACACACACACATACATACATATATTATTATCTTGGCTGCCGCGTTTTTTGTTTTCTTTGGTTCAATTACAAGATGAATCATTCTATTATTAGTATGGTTACGAATGGGTTATTATATTTCATGCATTACAATTGAGTCATATAATTAATTAATTATAATACTCATATCATTCTGTCGTAAAAACTCGAATGAATGTTAAGAGGTGTCATCATAAATTATTTTCTATTAAATTCATTACATCACATTTCATTTTATTATTTTAAGTTTACAAATGATTACTGTAACCCCCTAGACCCGACCTATGCGTTTCGACTAAGTCTAGTGGATTACATTATGATTATTAAAGACATTTTCCGAAACCGTTATTCCATCAATATAAAATCACATTATAAATAACATGAAATTATAAACAAATTATACTATCAAAATCCAACTCGTAAATATAGTACCAATAAATAATAATTTAATTTAAAACATGTCTTCAAATTCAAAATCACAATAAACCGAGCAGTAATAGAAAAAGAGTCATCATTATAAAATCCGATATTTAAAATAAGGTCCATGTCACCAAAATAAAGTCAACTTGCAAGATAAAAACATTACAATCTGATTTACTTCAAGAGATATGTTGATCCTCCAAGTGCTCGAACCGAGGTATCTAACCAACAGTATCTGAAAAGGGGAAAACATTTTCAAAAGGTGAGCTAGGCTAAGTGTGTCCTAACATTTTCATAAAATCACAATAGGTACAAATCATAATCCAGTAATCTCACAAATTCGTAAAAGAGTTTAACTTTTAAAAATCATAGTTTAAACCCTTTTCTGGTACACCATCAGTAGTTCCCAAAATTATTTTCCATATAGCTTACTTTATGCACATAGCAAAAAGAAAGCCGACTTAAGGATAGGCTCTGAAGCTTGTATCCTTAAGCCCAAGTCAATAAGTCCATATAGCTTACCCTAAGCACACAACAAAGGAAAGCCGACCTAATGAAACATCTTGGGGCCCTCAAGAGTCACATTAGGCCCATTTAGCTTGATCAGAGCTATTCCATCGTAATACAGTTCCAAAATTCAATTGCACCGTGACATAAATTCCATAAATCCAAAAACATGGTAATCATATACCATTTCAAAACAAAAATTAGATAGCAGCCATATTCCATAAATTGTCACATAAAATTGGTGCATCCATAAGACAATAACCAATGAATTCGGTGTACCACATATTAAAACCAATAAAACAGTTCAGTAACAAGTAGGGAACACACCTCGACAATAGGTTCAAATAGCAAATCTACTGATTGCTGGTTTCACCACGCTCTGCTACAGTTTTCGAACGCGTGAATAATGGCACACGTGGTTTAACTGATCTATAAGAGCAGGGTCGAGCTGTCGAACGATCCGGAGAGTCTCTTGTACCTTCAAACAATAATAATCTATCAGTCTCAAATCCTATTTAATTGTTCAAAACTAGACTTCTTAAGTATGTAAGCATTTTTCGGGTTTGACTATCAATTTGGGGTATTTCGAGTCTGAATTTGGCCAAACGGATTACGGAATCAGGACGTCGAAAAACATAAAGTATGACTTTTCGAAAATTCAGATTCTTGGTCAAAGTCAAAGTCAACCACTTTGACCGTCGATTTGGAGGCCTTCTGGTTCGAATTTGACGAAACGGACAGCGGAAACGGATTTGGCACTTCGACAACTATCAAGATAGGTATACTCGGAAAAGATTAACGGTCGTTTAATGCTCGGTCAAAGCCATTTTAAGTTTTGGTCAAAGAAAGTCAACGGTCAACGGTCGGGTCGGGTCAACGGTCGGGTCCGGTCGGTCGGGTCAGACCGGTCAAACCGGTTCAGACCGGTCAAACCGGTTCGAACCGGTCGAAACCGGTTTCCAGCAGCCACTCTCCCTGCGGCGGCGCGTGTGGCGCGTGAGGCGTCCTCCGGGGCCCTAAAAATCCCGAAAAAATTTCTAAAAATTATTTTGAGCGATTTCGAGATACTTACAACGATCGGTTCAAATTTTTGAACGGCGGAGAACTCGATTTCAAATCGGCCGAATCTTTGACTGCACCACCTCCTCACGCGCCGCCGTCGACGGCGGACAAGGTTGACACCAGTGAACTCGAAACGACACAAGGAACACGATGGTGCAGGAGGTGTCGTAAATTGAGCAACGATCGGCGGTGAATTTGAGATTTTCTCGGCGATAGAGCAAAAAAAAAACGTCGATGCTTTGACTTGAAATTCCCGACGTTTAGCAGCGTTTCGCTTCAATTAATTTAAGGGGATTGTTCCTGACTCGATAATGAACACGATGGTGGTTTCAATTTGACGATCGGATGTCGAACGGCGTCGGAATCGGACTTGAAAGTCGAGGTGCGAGAGGAGTGAAAGTTTAAGAAAAGCTTTTGTGTTTTCTGATTGAAATCAGAAAACACGTTAAGTTATAACCAAACCTGCCGACACTTTTAGGGGAAATTCAGGGCTTGGTCCCTGAATTTCCTTTACTTCGAAAATGGCATACAAGTTTTCATAAATTATATTTTAGTCACTTAATTTCACCCATTTTCACAATTTACCTCCAATTTCAATTAATATTATTTTGTAAATAGTCGGGTTGTTACAATTACCCATTAGAAAGTGTTACAATTGAGTTAATTAATCTTATTAAAAATTGATGGTTCGAATTTTGGGATTCTTGAAGATAGAAGATTCTACTCCATGATCTGAAAAGCTAATGGTCCATTGCTAATGAGAGAAATAACATATCTCAAGACTGAGATAATAACACTAAATAGATCAAAATTTGAATGTTTTTAATACAAACTACATAGATCAATATTTAAAATTTTGAATGTTTTGAAACGATTTCATAAATTTTGAAAGAAGTTCTCAAATATATAATTTGATAAATTTTAAAAATGAAAGAAAATATTATGATGAAATTTAAATTTTATCCATCATTATAAACGATTAGTTTTTATATTATGTATGAACAAATTATTATAGTCAATTAATTAACAATATATTATAACCTTTAGAAATATATGAAATTTTCATTATTAAAATATTTCATTTCAGCTTTCATTTTCTATTTTACAACACAATAATCACAGTGTTACAATTTATTAATTTAATGTCTTAATTATATCTTCTAACATATTGTAATTCATTTATAAGTTTACAAATAATTTAGTGATTAATAATATAATTTACTTATTTTGTTAGGGGATGAGCAAGGGATTAGTTTGTTGGATCAAATTCACATTTAGTGTAATAATCCTAAAAAAAGATAAATGAAAAATAATGGTCAAAAGGCAATAACGTAACGGAAGACAAACAAAAACATGTCCTAAAAATAGAAAAAAAAAACATATAATGTAAAATTATTAAAAACTTAAAAACATAAAAAAACGAATATGTGATATAAAAAGTAAAAAAAATATACAGACAATCGTTGAGAATCCTAAAATTAATGTCACCATCTACCTATCAAATATATAAAAAGAACAAGCGATTAGAGAGGGAAAAACAACCTAAATACAGCAAACAAGTAGATCTTATAGAATTAGAAAAGTATGTGTTTTTAAATTTTGTTCATGTATACTTAAATTATCATGAACATTATAATTGATATCATAACGGTATCTATTAGATTTTAAATTAACAATTTGGTAATAATAAAATTATTTTTAAATTTAATTAATCATTTCTTATATAATTGTAAGTCTCCCAAACATAAAAATACGTTCTCAATTATTTTTCAAGCATATTCACTCGTAAAGAATAAAAAAATATCTTTGTATTTAGCAATAATATTTTTAGACTTTTAAGGTAAAAAAGTATCGATCTCATTTTTTGTGGAATGATCTCATTTTTTTTCAATCTAGCCCTTAAAAACCGATCATTTCTCTTTTAATAGAATAATAGTCATATTTTCATAAACCCTGAGGGTTCTTTCATTCGTTTCATTATCATCAGCTAAAAATCAAATTAGTTTAGGGGTAAACACTCGATTTAGAGAGATTCTGTGAAAAAAAAAGATTTTTTCTTTCCTGAGATTTAGGGTAAACACTTGTTGTTGATCGAAAGATTCTAAAAGTAAAAAAAATATCTCATTTTCTGGGTTTAGGGTAAACACTCGCTTGATCGAAAAAAGGTTTCTGCTTAAAATTCACAATGGATAGCAGATATCATCGTGAGGAAAAAGACTCAAACACGAGATATTGTAAGCACTCAAAAAATCTTTAGGGGCTCTTACGTTTTAAAAAAATATTTTGAAACTCCTAAAAATAATTTTGAAAACTCTTTTGCAAAAAAGATTTACGATTTTCTTATGTTAAAAACCCTAAGTATATCTTTAGGACTTTCTTGTGTCTTCTGTTTACTGTTTAAAAACCCTATATTTAAAATAAAAAATTTTGAGTTTGATCTTTATTTAACTTGAAAATCATTACGGATGCAAAGTTGAAAAGGATATCTGTTTATTAAGGCCGATAGCATTGGCCCCTAGCATAAATGCGGGAGATCAACTATTGTGCCTAATAACCAGATATTGCCTTAATTTCATAAATCATAATACGATTTTGAAAAGGATGTCGACCTATTTTGGGAATCGCCAGTAGTCACCCCCTGAGCATACTTGCGGGACATATACCATTAATTCCCTCATAAGTGAACATTGCCTTAGGTTAAAAAAAGCAAAATGCAATCAAACAAATTTTTATTCAAAGCTTGAGAGTGCAATCAAATACTTGATTCAGTATATGTATATGGGAGTGCAAAATGCAAGATGCAAATGCAACAAGGAATTGATCCCAAAAATAACTGATCCTTGAACAATTCTTGAGAAACCGACAATGTCTCTGTGCACTGGGAAATGAAAATCTGGTC